TTTGAGACAGAGCCTCAAGCTGTCTCCCTGGGTGGAGTGCTGTGGCATCACAGATTACAGCAACCTCCAACTCCTGGGCTCAAGGGAGTCTCCTGCCTCAGCCTCCCAAGTAGCTGGGACCACAGGCGCCCACCACAGTGCCTGGCTATTTTTTGGTTGCAGCTGTCGTCGTTTGGCGGGCTGGGCTGGATTCAAACCCACCACCTTAGGTGTATATGGCTGGCGCCTTAGCCACTTGAGCCACAGGTGCTGAGCTGAAAAGCAGTAATTTTAATTTTTGGTGAACTAAGTTTCAGAGATGGTTATAAGGATTTAGTGTTTATGTACCTGATGTTTATTCTCCCTCAAGTTTAGTGATTCTCTTAAATAGATAAGTTCATTCCTGAACAGTGAAGGAGAAAGGAAGGTGGGGTGAGGCGCCCCTTCATTTGATCAGTCTGCACATCCATTCTCTTCTCCCGGTATTCCTTTCATGTAAGGGTTCGGATCACCACTCTTTGGCAGGAAGGAAGAGAGAACTCTCGTAATAGAATGTGATTTAATATGTTGAATGACAGTTTAGGCTGTGTCAGTCTGGTTGGGAAAAGGATTAGAGGCGATGTAAATGAGCTGCTGTATCTGGTTGTAAAAACATTTCAGGCATCTTTTGAAAAGTAATGTTAGACCCTGGTCTCCAGTTCCCCGAAGTTGCTTCTCATTGGCGGGTTTCTCCCAGTGGGGGTGAGTCAGGGAATCAGCTGGTCCCAGACTCTCATTTGCTGCCTCACCGAGTCCTGCCCAGCCTGCAAGGGCACGGGGCTCAGAGAAGAGGGGGAGGATCGGCCTCCTGAAGCCAGGGCGCTGCTGGCGTGGGACTCCCTGGCGTGGGGATCCTGTCCTGCTTCAGAACTACTTCCGGCTGAGCACTGACACCAGCTCTCACGTAGGCCAGCGTTCAGGGTTTAGTCCGTGCTGGGCTTACATTGAAGGGAGCCTCTGGTCATGATGATTGAGGGGCTTGGGGGAGGCCTGAGCCATCTGGAGTTCTAGCCCCTCGTTCCCTTGGGTTCATGTACAGGATAGAACTGCGTGGAGTTGAGCGCTCCAGGCACAAGGGAGAAGGAGAAGCAGCTCTTGTTTCAAAGTGGACTGTGTCCCAGAAAGAAAATAAAAGGAAATCATAGCAGTGGTCTATCAGCGGGTTTGGGTCTATCAGCCTGAAAATTGGCCCTTCTACTGGGGCTGAATTTCTCCAGTTATCTACATGCTTTTGTGGTAAGGGCTGTGGAAAAAGTAGCTTTACAGAAAGAGTGATCATGAAGTCTTCAGACTTTACAGCACTCAGACCATGGAGACCTGCAGCCCAGAGGGCTCCTTTCTCGTGCCACCGTCTCCCCCCATCGCCCCTCTGCAACCTGAAAGAAAGCTCAGAAACCTCCCCTGCCAGAACAGTCTGCCGGCCTCATCCCAGTGTCTCCCTTAACCGGCCTCATCCCAGTGTCTCCCTTAACTGCCTTCCCAAGTTGTTCCTCCTTTCAGCCGCCACCGCCATTCCCAGCTCTTTCTTCACCGAATGCTGCTGTTCCAGATCCCCATTTCTGAGATTCTCTCGCAGCTTTAGTTGTAGGCTGAGTCAGGGGTCAATTAAGAATAATTTTGTACTGTCAATTTTCAACATCAGCATCTTTGGGATCTTAAGAAGAGTCTGGAATTTTCTCTTCTGCATCATTTTCAGGAGCACTGAATCCATCTGAAGCGGTTTGCTTAGTTCCTTGCTGTTCCTGGCATTCGTGCATACGCTGTTTCTAGGTCTTAGGACTAAACGTGAAGGTTTGTTTATTCTGCTGGAGGCTGCTGGCGGCTGAGCTGAGGTTGTGGGCCTCCACCTCTATAGCATTTGCTTCTGTGGCAGGTGACCGCTGCTATGCCCATCACCTATGAGATCAATGCTGAGTTAGTGTCATCTTCACAAAAACCCACTGCCTCTGCAGGATACCCCAGAGCAGTTAATATTTGATGAGGACTGTGGATTGGGCTGACAGGCCGGGCTCAGAGGGGTGCAGTGCAGGTGCATTTTATGGTAGCTGGGAGACCGTGAGAGCATGAAGACCTTTTCAGGGAAACAGATGTGCTTTCTTTTCCATCTTCTGTGTTTTCTACCTAAACCCATAATGTGCACAAATGACACTAAATACATTCACTAAAGTGGTCCTCTGTGAATGTATATGCCACACAACTCGTTTAGGAAATGCCTTCAGTTGGGGTTTATTTATTCATTTAGAGACAGAGTCTCACTAGGTTGCCCTCGGTAGAGTGCCATGGAGTCAAGCTCACAGCAATCTCAAACTCTAGGGCTAAAGCAATTCTTTTGCATCAGCTTCCCAAGTAGCTGGAACTACAGGTGCTTGCCACCATGCCCAGCTATTTTTGTTTTGCAGTTGTCATTGTTGTTTAGCTGGCCTGGGCCAGGTTCGAACCTGCCAGCCTTGGTGTATGTGGCTGTTGCCGTAACCACTGTGCTACAGTGCCAAGCCTTCAATTGGGGTTTAAATCCATCCTGTGCAGACACTGCTGGGTCCTGACTGGCATCCTCCCTGATGTGCACAGGGAGATGGAATATCTCTGTGTCTGGGATTTTAATACCGGACTATTAGAAGTTCTAATATAAGGTACTAGCTCAGAAGACGTGGTTCCCTTAGAGTTGTCTAATCTATCATGCACTAAGTGGTAGCTAAGAACAGTTTACAGAGCCAAGTGCCTGGAAGGTGAGGGGTTGGACCCTGCAGGGCTGGTGCTGCTCTGAGCTGGACGCTACTGGTTTGCTCCTGACTTCTTATGGATTAGGAAGGTGTGGTGGCTGCCGTCAAAGTATTCACCTTCCACTTGATCTGATTTTGATTATTATGCTTTCTTGTGGGGGAAAATACTCTTCACCATGTATTAGCTGTGGTCTCCTGTAAGCATCTTTGGTTAAAAAACAAAACAAAACAACACCCTGCATCTTTTAAGACAGGACACTCAGAAACTCAGGCTGAATTGTAAATGTGATTTTGGATATATATTTTGATTGACTAATCAAGTAATGCTGTGTCATCATTAGTGGTTAGTTTTTCTTCTCTGTTTGTTTGAACTTTGATCTTTCTCCCACCACCCCAGGTGACAGTTCCAACCCCCCTAAGGAGGACACCCCTTCCAGCAGCGTGGACTCACTGCCCTCCCCATCTCCCACGACAGTAGCTGTGCATGGGCTTCCTGGACCAGACAAAAATCACCTTCTGGCGGATGGAGGGAGCTGTGGGGACTGGGGATCCCCCAGGTAAGTACCTGTGCTTCTGTGTGGCACTTCTGTGGTCAAGAGGCCATGACTTCATTTTGAAGTTTCATGAGGTATATGGTCAATGATGCCGAAGCTGATAGATTCAAGACTCATGTTGTCTAATCAGTGGGGCCTCCAAAGAGAGAAGGATCCAGAAAGAAAGCCTTTCTTCAGTGGTGTGTCTGTGTTCCCGTTATGGGTGGGGCAGGTAGGTGCCACTTCAAATCCCATCTTAGTTCAGTTCGTGGCAGTTTGGTGTTGTGCAAAGGACATTTGTTACTGTCCCAACCAGGATGTTTTCCCAGTAGTTATGCAAACTTTTTCAGGATATGATAATGCATGCACTGTGATGGATAGACTCTTGATGCTGTCTGTAGAATGATGCTCTAATTAGATGAACTTTTGAGAGCTTTATTCCTAGCATTCTGCTTTCCAGCGTAGCACAGCACATGGTCGAGACTTGATGGTGTGTCTTATTATACCTTCTCAGTCTGGTTTAGTGCCAGATACGTGTAAATCAGCTCGTGTATATTAGGAGAGATAATAGTAATGCAAACAAAAATACCTTGAACTTGTTTAACTACGTGAGGGCTCGTCAGGCCGTGTTGATCGAGGCTGTGGAGTAAAGGCAGAATGGTGGTGGTGTGAGACATCAAAAGGGCATCATCACTTTTCAAACGTGTGCTCAGAGAAGAGAAAACACCACTAATAATTACCAGGCATTACTTGATTAGTCAATCAAATTACATCCAAAAATACATTTATAATTTATTCAGAGTCTATTAAAAAATTTTTTAAAGCCAAACTTGCTTAAAATAAATTATAGATAATGATGTCATCTGACCCTAGCTGGGCATTCTTGGGACTTTAAATGGATTAGAAAGTGTTCCTCAGATTACTTGGCTTTTTATAGTCACTGCTGGATCCACATGAAATCATTATGAACTTATTAAGTATTAAGAGAGGCTAGGAGACACTCGGTATGCTAACATTTTGGGGTGACTTGAAGACTTTGCAGATCTAACTGAAACTCCAAGCGTGGAAACATACTCTCCAGATGAGATTTTCTTCCCCCAGCCCTGTCGTGTATCCATATTTTATCTGCTGAAGTTATACAATACATTATAGGTTTAAATTACATATTACTTAAATATGCTTGTCACCTTTATTGTTCTTTTTCCACAGTAAAAATTCTCTTTAACTTGAGCACTATAGGCAACAATAACCGTAGTTACAGAGGAACCCAGAATCTGTAATCCTGGTTATACTCAGGGTGGAATTTAGCCAGCGTTTGTGTATTTTAGTGAAAACCAGATCCCCGATTATTCCTTCCCGTCAGTGTAGGTCACGGTCATGGGCAGCAGTTGTGTCCGCATCTTTCCTTCACAGTGGGTCTGTAGGAAAGTGACATTATGAGTACAGCCAGTGCTCAAGTCACAAAACATCTGTGCCTAAAACAAGAAGAGCTTGATGTTTTTGGTTATAGATCAAATAAGGAGTGAATCCCCCAGCTTCCTATTCATACAAACTTTAAAATGTCATGAAAAGCACTCTATAGTTGAAGCAAGTCTGGAAAGGAGATTTTTGTTACAATGGAGACTTTCTCTTACTTCAAGAATTTGGTTTTTTTTTTTTTTGCAGTTTTTGGCTAGGGCTGGGTTTGAACCCACCACGTCCAGCATATGGGGCCAGCGCCCTACTCCTTTGAGCCACAGGTGCCACCCTGATTTTCTTTTTGGAATTTGATTTTTTTTTATTTTCAATGGATGAAATGTGTCTGTGTTTCTTGTAGTATACACTAGAATGTTTTCTTAGATCTTTTAAGGGGTTTATTTGTGAGAGCCATCAGTCCAGATTTATCACTGTGTTTGGAAGTTTGTATGTAGATGGGTGCTCCTCAAACCCCGAGCACATATCAGAATCACCTGTGGGGCCCCACTCCAGATATGATTCAGCAGGTCTGAGTAGGTGCCTAAGAGTTTGCATTTCTAACCAGTCCCCATGTGATGCTTGGGGAGCCCTGATAAAGAGACTGTCTTCTGCTCCCTCAGGGTCCTCAGCATGTGTTCATGGTAAACTGCTTCTCTGAAGAGTGAAATTAGGATACACAGTTCCTCTCCTTGCTGGGTTTTTTTGTTTGTTTTTGTTTGTTTTTTGTTTTTAAGAGACACAGTCCCCATTATGTCTCCCTCGGTAGAGTGCTATGGCATTACTGCTAAAAGCAGCCTCCGACTCTTGGGCTTAAGCGATTCTCTTGCCTCAGCTGGTACTACAGGCACCCCCCACAACATCTGGCTATTTTTTGGTTGCATTGTCGTTGCTATTTAGCAGACCTGGCCTGGGCTTGAACCTGCCAGCTTCGGTGTATGTAGCCAGTGCCCTACTCACTGAGCTGTGGGTGCCCAACCTCCTTGCTGTTGTCTTTTAAAACATCTTTCTAGGGTAGTGTGCTTGCCCCCTTCTACAAGCCTTTGTGTACTTCCCACATTCTTTAGTTCCCTCGGTCTGATGTATCTCTCTTGCTTTTTATTTTTTCTTGAGGC